ATATATAAGAAATTACATTAACAGGCTTTAAAGTTTATACATTTGAGGCATTTTAATTTTGTATGTCAGAATATGCTGGTTTTATCGAGCCCCCACAAGCAGCTGATGATTTTGTAGACAGACCCTGAAGGCATGGTTTGTGGATTTGGCAGATGCTTCATCCAGGAGAGGTAGCTACATGTGTTGCTTATAAAAAGCCTGTCTTGTTTTCCTTAGGGAAGTCCTAATGTGGTCTCTGAAGTAAGACTCGGAATTTTGTAAAGATAAGGTTCATGGCTTTCATATTATGCTTTTTAGAGTGTTACTGCCTTGGTCTGATTTAATTTGGTATACTAAATGTTACATAATATCTGTTTTTTTTATAACCAGTGCAGGAGTTTTCCATACGGTCTACAAGAGTTAAAGTGTATGTAAAGCTTTTTATGGATAGAATAAGGAAATGTTAAAACCCCTGTCAGGTTTTTATTGCTTCTTGTGTCCCTACTTGGAAGATTACCCTCACCGTTGGTCCTGGTGACCATTGTCACCTGGATAAAAAGTGATGAGAAAGTCAAAATTGGCTAGAGCTTTACCTCCAATTAAAATTCAAGTGACAAAGAGGATCTCCCCTCACTTTGGAGAGATTTCCTTTAACATTAATTCCTGTTGTGTCTGCTGGACAAGAAATAATCTACCAGATGGTACACAGACAGCAACAAAATATCTGACAGGTGCCTACTTCTTAGAATTACATACACTTTAAGGCTAGTCAGGTTGGTTTTTCAATAATTCAGCCATTTCTCATTATTTTTACCACTGAGGAGCACTTGAAATAATTTTAGCCCTGCTATAAGGTAGGTATGTTCAGATACCAGTTCAGATACTAGTGCCGATACTTGTCATTTTCACGAGAGCTACCACGGTTGCAGAAGTTGCAGCTGGGACCTGGCTCTGGCGCTCCACCAATGTCCTGAAATCATTAGTCTGTATTGTTTTAGAAAAACTGTCACATGACAATAACAAAAATGGATCAGTACTTGTATCTGTGAGTACCTGGACAAGTATCAGTACTTGTACTTGAAAAAATTGTATCAGTGCATCCCTAATATATTAATAAAAAACAAATCATACATTAAAACCGTAATGCACAAATCCCAGGAGTCCTGTATGCTCCTTAAAAATGACAGCTGCCTCCTAACTTTTGAATTTTTCTCTAGTCTAGTCTTGGAGCTGAAAAAGTATCTGTACATGTACTTGAACTTGTACCGAGTATGGTACTTGATAGCTTAACATCCCTACTATAAAGCATTAAAAAAGGATATCTACAGCTCAATGTACTGTACATTATCGTGATCAATAAGTCAAGGAAAGTTTTAAATAAAAAAAATAAGTAATGTGGCATGCCTATCATATTTGACACCCAGGTCGGATCATTTTGTTACCAAGTCCCTAAAAATTATTTTCAGTAATCTTAAAATACATTATAACTGCAAAATAGAAGAGCAGTCAGTAAACTATTTTTGGTGTTGCTTGCTGCTTGCATTGGTGATCAGTGTAAGCAGGAGATCAATCCACCATTGCTCACTGTTCAAGGAACCCCTAGCAACCCTAGGAGGAACCCTAGGGTTCCATAGAACACTGGTTGAGAATCCCTGCTCTAAACTGATCTTCCATTTGTAAAGTAAAGTTAGTTTATTACCTTTCCTGAATATGATCATTGAAGATAACTTTGTGCTTGCTTGCTGCTTGAATTGGTGATCAGTGTAAGCAGGAGATCAATCCACCATTGTTTGCTGTTCAAGGAACCCCTAGCAACCCTAGGAGGAACCCTAGGGTTCCATAGAACACTGGTTGAGAATCCCTGCTCTAAACTGATCTTCCATTTGTAAAGTAAAGTTAGTTTATTACCTTTCCTGAATATGATCATTGAAGATAACTTTGTGCATAGGTTATTTATTTAAAATATCCAGTTTGCCAACAATGACAGTTTATAGTCATGCTAATATCAATGTACATTTGTTGCCAGTCTCTTTGTTTGCATTACATCCTAACAGACACAATTTAGAACTTAATAAAGGCTTAGTGCACCCAAATCTACCTATTTTTATCTCTTGGAGACTCCAACTGTTAGATCTCCCTTTCATATTTCCTGTTTCTGTTGCTATCTATTTTGAGTGTTTCCAGCCACCTTTGTATGCTTGAACATCTTTTGCTGTATACTCTATTATATTTAACACAGAAAAAGTCTCCAGTAATGGCCACTGCAGTTGTATAGACCAATGAACTCAAGATTGCAGATCCCATCGCCAAAGTCTCTGAGAGATATAATAAACTATTAGAGCAGGGGTTGGAAACCTTGGTACTGCTGCTATGGTGAAACTCTGAATCCAGTGAAATAGTGCAAGACCTTGACAGCTACAGGCATGACTCCTACAGACATAGGCATGATGTAATTGGTAGGTTCACCACAGCTGCTGTTGCCTCCCTCTGTATTAGAGGGCCTAACTTCAATGGACCTACGAAAAAAGAAATGTTAAGTATGGGTTGACTGACCCGTTCAACTGGAGTCCCACATATCTTATACAAAACTTTTGATTTACCAATCTTTGAGGTGCTATAGATTTACTTATTTCACTTCTAATGTAATTCTTAAACATTGCATTCATTTATTTTGCAGATGGACAGAAGAGGAAAAAATCATTAAGAAAGAAACTGGATTCACTGGGGAAGGAGAAGAACAAAGATAAAGGTAAATGTTTATATGTTTTATATTTATCTACAGTATCTCATGTTTTTTTGCCCCATTGCAGTTTTGTAAGTGTGACCTTACAGTGACAGATCAAAGCATTCACCTTCCATTAATTTTATTCCCATCTTGGCTTAGATTATACTCCATGTGTGATAAAGGCATGTTTCCTTTTTAGTTTAGAAAAGGATGGGGTCATTAGTAGCCTATTCATTACACTTTTTTCCCCTATCCATTAAAATAATTGGGGCTTTACTTTCTTCAGTGTCCCAAAGCAACACAAGGGAACCAAGCAACCGAAGTGAGAGCAAATTTGTAAACCACATTGCTTTAGGTTTTTTCTTTTAAAAGAAAATAGTGCTCTAAATCACAAATGCCAACAAGTTGAACAATGTCTTGCTATAACCAGTACGTTAATCCCAACCCAGCCCAATTAATGTCATTCAGCCCCAACATATCAAACTACAGTATATATGGCAGTTGAATGCAGCTAGTATTAGTTGATGAACACGTATGCACAATCCTTGCCTGCTCCCTCCCAATGAGCATAGCCCCAGAACCCGCACATTTAAAACAAATAAACACTGCATCTCCTATATTTTTTTTATCTTTGCCCCATTACCTAGTTGTCAGTTTATCAATGCTTTCGCTTAAGATTCACAAAACTTTCACCCATGATTCACACTTTTTTCCACATGTGTTTTAATTGGAAAGTTGTGTGAATCTTGGTGAAAATAATAAGTAGCCAATCAATGAGTTTGAACCAAAATACTACCAGTGAAATCTATACCAGTTTGAATTCCTATTTTTCATGATCTTACCGGGTCAGTGACTCACTTACCAGTGAAGCTGGAATCAGGATGAGAGCCAGAGAGCCTGTACTTTTTAAGAAAACACAAGTCAGGGGTGGCAGACTACCCCCACCACCACTCCTGTTATATTTTACAGGGATCTATCATTTTATAGTTCATCTGCTGCACAATACAAATAATAACTTAAAGTAGAATTGTGGCCAGGCTATGAAAATTCAATTAATTGCATATTCTTAACAAGCAGTAAATACGTTTTAAAATAAATTATGACTGTCATTCAGTCATAATTCAGACAGTCCCTATTCTATTGCCAAAATACTTTTTCCTTAACTTAAGTCGGCTGCAATGAAATTCGTGTGGGCTAATAAAACCCCACGGATCAGTGCAAAGGTACTGATGAGACCAAAGCAAAGAGGACTGGGAATCCCGGATTTTGAACTGTATCATAAAGCGGCCTTGCTATTAAGATTATTGGACTGGATACATGGTAGCCACAGTAAGGGTGGAGTAAAATTGGAGAGCGATATATCCCCCATACCATTAAGTAAAGTCCCCTGGCTGTCAATAGAGAACAGACCTTAAGGGCATACCCTACCTTTCTTGGTAAGACCGGTGCTTTAAGTATGGGATAGTCCATTATTAAATATAATCTATCTTCCAGACCCGGGCCATTGGCACCTATTATAGGAAACCCACAATTTCCACCAGGTCTGCAGGCGGTTCACTTCTTAAACATGGAGAGTAGTTCCATGGAACGAGTATGGCAGGTTCTAGAGATAGGGAAAGAAGAGTTAAAAATAGAGCTAAGACCGGAGAAACAAATTAATGGGAAACTATGGTTAGAAGCACTGCAACTATCCGATTATATTAGATACCTTAGGGCCCGCAAAACCCTGAATAGGTCACTCACACCATTTGAGAAACTATGCGTGAGTAAAGACCCTATCACACATATACTGTCAGTGGTCTATGGCCTGTTGAGGGAAGAGGAGACATACAAAGTATATGAAAAGATGGGAACAAGATCTGAGAAGAGAAATATCAGAGAAGGAATGGGAAAAAATATTGACTATGGCCCATGGCTCTGTCACCTGCCCATTCTTTCAAGAAAAAAATTATAAAATAGTGTCTAGATGGTACAGGTGCCCATTAGTAACACGTGCTAAGTCATACTGCATGCAAAGCAATTTGGGACTTGTATTTCCAAGGATGCAGTGCATGTGCCCATGCTAATGCCTGCATTGCCTTTGCTCCCATACCAGAAGGTCGGAGTCACCACTGCTGTGTTGGCATGGTAATGCAAGCTTTAGAAGCCCAAAACATACAAAATTGCTTTAAAAATGTTTTTAAAAAAATACAATGATGTAAATATGGAAGAAAAAGCATGTAAAATGTGGAAGTTACATCAACAATTAAGGTAAATGTTACAATAAGTACTTAAACTCAGTATGTGTACACAATAGTTTTATTTTAACTCTCTTCTTTAAATGACCCTGTGCTTTCCAGGGACAATTTTCCTATGTGATCTGCAGCTTACAAAGGGCTTCTTTTCTTTGCTCCTACGGATAAATGGAAAACTGGGTAGCAAAATGAAGGTAAAAGTACAGGTTCACTTTAAAATCAGTCAACCATGTACATCCTGGAGTGCTGGCTATGTTCACAGTTGGCACAAAAGCCTAAAATTAGTCATCAGAAATTATTGATGTGTATGTTACCCTAATTTTTTTAATCTATGTGTGTTTGCCTATGTATATCTTTCTACTAGTACTGTATTACTTTTCCATTCACATCAAAACACATGGGTAATCCTGCCAGTCCTCCTTATTTCTTGATGTAAACTGACCACACAGTACAGAAGCAGATCCATGCTTGTATGGTCAGTTTGCGTCCCTGGTCTTGCTTTTAGGTGGTACAGGAGGTTGTGCTGTCACACAGTGTGTCTGCATCTTCCATAGTCTGTTTACCCGCCACCACCCCCCCATCCTAAGCCCTGCCTTGCTGATTGACAGTGGGACTTCGATTGGGGACCACTGTCAGCTGCTACAAGCTAGTAGAGTTGTGGAGTTTCTTAGTGTGAGTGAATGACTTGCTGATCTGCCTGCTCCCTGCTATTCGGGAGAAGACATGATTCTGTGCAGTCACATGACCGCACAATAAAAGTTCAGAGAAAGGTAAAAAAATATTTTTTATACATAATTTCTATTATGGCCACTACATCATCTGAACCTTATTACCATGTGTCTACATAGTTGTTTGTTCACATATACTTTAATTGACTTTGACTTATTTCTCTTTTTCCTGGAATATGTTTGTCCTCTACCTCACACAGTTATGTGAAATCATAAAAAGGTCTTTTTTATCTTTTTTTTTTCTACATAGACTGTTCATTGCGGAATACACTGTTTATCTGCCCAGTGTTCTGAATCTTTGCTCAAATTCTTTCTAGTGAATGATCATAGGAATTACATTTATGACACAATGTGTTTTATATTAAATGCTCTTGTTGTTGATAGCTTTATCTTAACTATTTTGCAATGCTGGTATATATTGAAAAACGAAAAGACCCATATAAATTGACTTACATCAGTTTTCATAAAAGCTTTGTTCTCCCATTGTTGTTTTGCAAGGTCAGTATTTTAGTATTTGAATACTAAATTGAATACACAGTTGAAATACATATATTACATATATATGATCTTACTTATCTGCAACACAGCTCGGTCACCAACCCAGCCTTCTGATCGGACAATGAAAGAGGCCTAAGCCAGACATACATGGGTAGATTTGTGTATGAATGTTCATATGACAAATCTTGTCAGAATATTTGATAATGACATTAGATACCTGACAAATGTAATTCAAAATCTGATTTTCATTTAACATTCAATTATGAAATAAACAGAGTTTCCCGAAGGAAAACCACATTTACTGTTAGAATTTTGTTTGTTCGAGAAACATTTTCCATCCTTCTTTTTTTTCCGTTAGTATAGTCAAAAGCGATCATCGATTTGACCCCACTAACTATTCGAAAATCACATGAACGTTCCAAGAAACCCATTTTTTCCAGCTAAATTCTACTGGTGTATGAGCAGCTTTCCCACACTGTCGAGGTCATGACTCTCTCCTCTGGATAGCAAACACCCAATGTTAGACTGCTAGTAGCTGTTATCGCTGGACAGAGAATTTATGTCCAATTGGCTTACTCACTGGCCTTTCTAGTGGGGGAGCACTATGGGATGTACAGGTATTCTGATTTCTGATTAGCATTGTATGATATATATGGACTAAAGTGAGACTATGCACCTTATAAGTCTGTACATGTTATGCACTAGGAACTGTGGATCCTGACTGGGATTTTGATATGACTGTTACCACATTCAACTTTACTACAAGCAAATATTTTTGTTTACAAACACTAGCCAGTAATAAGTCAAATAAAGGCTAGATAGGAACACGCTCACCCAATTATGTAGCGGTCCATCCTCCTCTGGCAATACTTGGAGCTTTGTGTATCCAAGCAAGATAAACCAGTGAACTAAAAGACATAAGCCAGATAGCATAGAACATCATTTAATTCAAAATATATGAAAAAGAGACGTCTTCTCTGTATTATTCTTTACCTCTATGTATTCCTTCATCTACGTGACTTTTTGTTCTCTTTCTCTCTTTTGCTACTTATTTAATATCATGTTTTATGTAAGAAGATGAATGCTGGAGTCTGGTCAACAAATCACCTGTGCTTATGTGTTATGTTATTGTATATTCTGTATGGTAATCTGAATTGTCTGTGGTTTATATTTTTGTTTATTATTGTATTTGTTTTTTTTGTTCTTCTCTTTTTGATTTATGTTATGTGTAAAGCTCAATAAAAAGTAATTGATTAAAAAAAAATTTCCTTTTAAAAGTCCCACTTGGATCAGGTATAGATCCCAGATTCACAAGCTCTCCAAAATAGCCACTTGGATGATTTAAGCGCAATCGACCCTTTTCTTACCTACCTGATGTGAGCGCTTGCAACAGATTCAGCCATCATGCGAAAATGGCCTTGTGGTGGGAATGTTGTAATGGGAATGTTGTGGTGGTCCCCTGTCCTTGCTGAAGCATTTTGTGGTCAATACCATTGCCTCAGGGTAGTGGCGGGGTTGGGAAATGGGAACTAAATAGACTGGCAAAAAAAAGCAAATTACCGTTGGTGATCCTGCCTGCCCCCAATTACCCAGGAGCAGGAGGAATGGATGGCAAGGTAAAAGAGGTGGAACGTGACACATTAGCATCCTAACCCTTTAGCATTCTTTAAGATTTTATAGAAACTGCTTTAGCATGCATTGGGTTTCTGACATTAAAAGCTGGTTAAAAGTGACTGAAATTTCCTGGAAACTGCCTTCGTATTACTATAATCATATATTAACTGGGGCAGCCATACAGTAGGGACATTTGGACAAAAAATTAGCATATTTCACTGAAGGTTCATGATTTTACTAAAATAAATTTAAATCAATAGGAAATGCAAAATGTTTTGTTTTTTTGAGTGTTTTTTAGGGGGAAATACTCCTTGGGGCATACCAATGCTCCTTTCAACTATCCTTGGCCTGTACTTGTTCCAACAATGGATTTATGTTAGATGGGGATATCTGTTAGATATCGAGAAACCCTAATACCCCATAATGCCGACCCTACCCCTTGTTTATAATCAACACTGACATGGTGATCACATTACTTCATTTATAAGCAGGCAAGGATCACATGGCTGTGTTAAAGCAATTGTTTTCAAGCAAATTTCACTTAAGCAGTCTAGATGGAGAAATTTGAGGCTAATTTCAGTGAAGGTGAAATTGGTAATTTCACTACACTTTTGCAAAACTATTCTACTCATCCTGAGAAAACATAAAGATAAGAGAGAGGAGCTGAATATGCTGCACTGGATATTTCTAAAGCCTAGTCATTCGATCTCTGTAGAAGGAAGAAATGGTTGCTTTTATCCTTCAGCAGAGATCACATGGCTCAGGTGGTAAGGGATGTAGCTTTCCATGAAGAGAGCAAGAAGCAGCATATTCTCCAGGAAAGCATTCAATGCTTTCTGATTTTTATCTTTTCTAGCATGACTATTAAAATAGCTTTGTGTTAACACATGAGTATAGATCCACTTTAATAAACTGTATATCAGCATGTGAGACGTTAGCATTGTACTTGACAGATGGCTTTTAAATTCCCACACTGTAGCAGAATGTACAGATGACATAAAAACAATGTCTTGTGGGTATGGAACACTTACATTTAATGGATCTAAATGGCATGACTATATATTAATATTTCTCTTTATTTATTTTAGAATTCTTACAGCAGGCATTTGGAATGCCATTATCACAAGTAATCGCCAATGACAGGGCTCACAAGCTAAAGCAAGATTCTCACAAAGACGAGCAAAAAGAGGTCTCTGACTTTGTTACGTCCATCCTGCCATTTGGATCAAGGCGGCAGAATAAAGAACTCTCTAGTAGTAATTCATCTCTTAGCTCTACTTCAGAAACACCAAATGAATCCACATCTCCGAATACGCCAGAAGCTGCACCTCGGGCACGCAGAAGGGTGAGTTCACACTGTCACACATGAAAGCAAATTCCTAGATGATATATCTTACCATGTGCTATTTCATTTGTGGAATGGGATTAATATTGCCCCTGTGGAAATTTCCAAATAGGTTCAAATAGGATAAAATATAATTTAAAATAAATGTATAGTGTTTTTTTTTACTACAATTTTTTCTTTATACTTTCCATTTTTTTCTACGGTCCAAACTAAAAAAAAATACAGAGCCACACCGCTGTTGGGAAAGATTCTGACATTATTGTCAGGCTCCATCCTGCTGCCTGATTGACAGCTGGCTCTGCCACTCTGGAGCAAAAGCCAGTTATGCCCACCCTCTCCCCTCCCTCTTCCTCCAATGAGCACTGGAGGAACAGAGAGAGGAGGGGGGAATACCAGCAGGGAGTGGTGACTGACAGTCGCCACTCTCTGCAGGTAAAAGACAATGATCTGAGCAATCAGCGGTTTGTGGTCGATCAGTTCTTGATCTATAGAGGCAGGATTTGACACCTGCAGTGTCCGACACTGCCTCTAAGTATTCAGAAGAGTACATTTTAAATAGTGTATCAGTTTAAAAAGTATAAACCCTCAAAAGGAAATGTGAATTAAAATTGATTAAAAAACTTGTATAGTTTATTTTTATATGGTTGAACTAAAATGTCTTTCCATAAAGTATTAAAGTAATTACAAGGGTAATTTTTAAATGTTAGTTTTGGATTAATTGTGGAAGGGTTAGAAACACTGTCAGGTTTTTATTGCTGTCTATTAACCACTGTAACAGAGACAGAAAGTGATGGGAAAACGAGTTGCCATCAGAGCAAGAAAATAAAAATGATTTCAAGGGGGACACCTGTTCCTATGACTTTACATACAGTTTAAGACATGAATACAGGCATAACAACAGGTATCACTGTGCAGCAGTGGCAGAGTACATAAAATAAAGGACATGCCTAGCTGCATAAGCATAATGATCCTCATACATTCCCTCATTGGTGCGAGCAGTACAACCAATTCAAGAATCTCTTACAAGTGATAAAGAGAACATTTGAAACATTGTAAGTGCCCGTTATTATTGCAAATGATAATGAGCTCCTTGAAAACATTGGAGGAGCTTGTTTTTGTTATTTATCATGTTTGTAAACCTTTGCAATCACTGAAGAGAGAAAAGGGTGCAGACCTTTCACTGTGCTCGTACTATAGTGTGGTGTCACCAAAGTTGTGTAAGAAAACCCTGGCAGTTGTTTCGGGGCCACAATCTTGCAAGGATAAGCAGATATTTAACCTCACATTACTGTGCCCAAGAATCACTGCAAGCAGCATTATAAGTATATTATCGGCAGTTCAGTACGTTTTTATTCTGTAATGTAATTGTTTCTACATGTTGTGCCAAATTTGGGCTGCAATAAAATGTGCAAAATTTCTTTCAGACTGTAATCAGAGTCATTTGGCCTTTTCTGCTAATCCTGGGAAGAGACTTTATGTCTGGGCAAAATAGGATTGCCATTTACAGAGATGTGACATCTAATATTTTCAGGAGGTGCCCATATTCTGTAGTTTGTGTTTCCCGCACATCTTGTCTGTCCTCTTAGAAAAAAAAAGAAAATCAACAGATCACATTTCCCTGCCTATCTCCTAAAGACACCCTTGCCCTCAGAAGCACAGAGCTATACAGTATGTTAGCGCAGACTTAGAAAATTACCTGTTTCAGGAAGCCAGGAAAACATTGTTTCATATGGCGTTTCATAACATTTATTTATAGCATTTTGTTAAGCAAAATCAATTTCTTATTGCATTTTAAGTGTCCTACACAGTCCTGATAATTGTAATTCTAGCAGGCAAATGTTTCAATTTGATTGGTCACATCCTGTTCACCAAAGTACCATGCTTTTTCAGAACATTGTCATTAATATATAAGCAACCATTACTGTTTGGTTTCAGAATATAGACTGGTTAAGTAAAGGCAAGTTTCTCTAGATTTCACAATTTGTTTGCCTAGCATATTGAAGCAATAGAGTGATACAACTCGATGAGGTAGTACAGTTGTCAGCTTTTAATTGCTACCATATGTGATAGAAACCAGAGTTTTGTTGCAGATGTTTAGGCCACAGTTATGCATTTATAATCACTAACTTCCCCAACTGTGTTGATAAAATATTTAGTTAGCTCTTTTAAAAAATAACTTTATTAGGGCTTTTGTAAACATGTGTATCTATCTAAACTGCTTTTCTTCTCATACAAGCCAATGGGAATGCAAAGCAACTCAGGGGGAGGTTGGAAGCAGGTCAAAAGCAGCTTATAAAGCAGTCAGAAGAAATTCTGAAGCATTGCAAATATGAGCTGATTGCAGGTGAAAGCAGGCTGCATTTGTTCCTTTTTATATAACCTCTAGCACTCTTTGGGATTGATTTACTAAAGGCAAAAAAGCTGATCACTTTCCAAGGAAATTTTCCCTTAGTTCAGTAAATGTGGTAAAGCTTTGCTGCCTTCCATCTTCTAATCACGTGCAAGCAAAAATACTTTTTTTCTTTTTATTTTCCATTGTTCATGATTAGGTATTCTTTGCAAAGTGACCTTTCACCACATTCACTAAGCTTAGGGAGAATTCCCTTGCAAAAAAGAAGAGCCTGTTTGTCTTTAGTAAATCAACATATTTGAACCTAAAAGGACCTTAAAATAAAACCCTAGTGCAATTAAAAAGAACAAAACAAAAAAAAAAAACTTTTATTGATAAAAAGAACTTACTGATTATGGGGTTCCCATGGCCCTGGTGGTCATACTCATATGAAAGCATTGTAAACATTAAAGAACTAAATTTGGTCACTCCTCCTACCTAACGTCTTACAGTTAACAGTCGTAGAAGTTACAGGTACAAACAATAAAATACTCTGTTTCTCTGGTAAAGGAGATGAGTAAATTTGTCTTAGTTCGGTTCGTGAACAGTTTCGGAAATCTTGTTTGAAGTTTGCGAAATTTGCAGTGAACCCCATTGAAGTTTAAAGGGGGCGAATCTGGTTTTCGGTTCTGGCCATTAATAGAGCTAATAAGCAAGTTCATGTCTAACAAAAGGCATGGTAAGCCTGGCCCTGTCATGGAGGATATATATTACCTGTCCGTCTATCTCCCACCTTGACTGCCTTTAGGCGTTCCCTAAAGACTCATCTCTTCACCGCAACCTAACCACTGAACCTTCACATTCTCACATCATTAATTCCCACAGCTACCTCATGTATCATTTCCCCCTCCTCTTTTAGATTGTAAGCCCTCAGGGGCAGGGCCCTCCTTACCATCTTGTCTTGAATTGTATTGTAACTGTTATGTCTTCCTTATATTGTAAAGCGCTGCGCAAACTGTTGGCGCTATATAAATACTATGTAATAATAATAATAATATATATACAAATACAGAAATAAAAAAAAGAACTAATTAATAAAAAATCTCTCTCTCTCTATCTCCTCTCTCTCTCTCTCTCTCTCAAGATCTCGATCTCTCTCTCGAGTTGTCATCTCTCCCTAACACTATCAACACACAGTGACAGTATGTTTGCTGTTAGACCATTAAAGAAAAGGGGCTGTTATTTGCGTTTCTTCAAATTACTGGCTTGTGACTAAGCTGACCAGGGGCACTGCATACTAAATTGTTCTCTATTTCTGACAGTGAAACTATTTGGAGGGAGCACAAATAGCCAGCAGTACATAGTTGAAAGTATTTTGCCTTTCCAGCCAAGCAAACATCACCTTCCTTGACTTTGTTCTGTCTTTGAGCGCTGGGATGCCCCATCCTATTAAACTAAATTTGCCCAGTAAGTAATTAGTAACTATTAAGAATTATAACAAAGATGGGTGGATAGAAAGATAGATAGATAGATAGATAGATAGATAGATAGATAGATAGATAGATAGATAGATAGATAGATAGATAGATGGATTGCCTCAAATGTATTTTTTGTATCCAGTAAGTACATTATCTGTTAATGAGCAGTCAACGTGAGTTTTTTATGGTTGCTTTTTTGCTGGTCGTCATCTGCATCTTAGGTTCTTGAACTTCTATTTTCCTCACAAACAAACCACAAAGTCACAGAGTTCCAGATCAAATAAATAGAGAACTTGGCCAAGAAACAGTTACTTGTGATAAACTTTTCTTGCTGTGGGAAATAGTGAATATTTTGGAACATTAAAATGAATTGCGAATATTATCTTTCTTAATCAAGGCAGATGACTTGCATCAAGCCCAACACCCTCCTTTTTAGTACAGAGCTTTGTCTCACAGGACATAAAATGAACTTGTTTTTATATATATATATACTATATCAGTTGCCAGTAGTGCCTAAAGCACAGGACATCAAAGGATTAACTGTGTGTGTGTGTGTGTGTGTGTGTGCGTGTGTGTGTGTGTGTGTGTCTGAGTGCGATAAAAATTGGCTTCCTGTACTCTTCACTCTATTGGTGTCTGGAGATCATAATGGTACCTAGGGAAATTGGATGGCCATCATTGTATTCTTGCATTTTCAAAAGGCTGCTGTGTGGTCCACTGATCATAGAAGTTTTTCTCATGGCACAACTGTGAGTCATACGATCTATTGGCAAGATTCCAGGCTAGCCTTACATTACTGTTGCAGGCAGGAGTAAGGGGCAGCAATTTACTACCCGTGAATGGTTGCAGTATATAAACAAGAATTTAGTTGGGTTATTCTTATACCACGAGATTGTTCTCTGTCCTATATGGATAGTTAATGCAGCTGCACAGACATACCTTACTTTCTTTCCCCCACTGGTCTTTTGTAGCTCACACAGGGCTATGAACTTGATTGACTGTCATAGGGTGACTGGGCTAGTGATGTCACATACTCCTCCTGGTACTTACTTTGGCTCTCAAAGGAAAATATGTTAGGCTAGATTTAGAAGTTTAGATCGGTTTCTAGATGCACCTGAGTTCTATTTTTTTTAAACGCAGCTTAACTGACCATAGATTAGATGCATATACAGTATATGCATTTACAAACACTTTTTAAATGCATCTAAAAGCTTCCAATTGCACATAGGGCTTGTTCACATTTTGTCCGGACCAGACATTTTTTTGCCGCACCCGAAATGCATCCTTATGTATTCCTTTGGTATTTCTGAGCTCTGTTGACACCAGCGCAGTCAGTTCCGGTGTGGGGGGAAAATGCTGCATACACTAAACACATAAAACCGCATGCAAACGGACTGTACTGCACTTAAAAGCCTATTTTAAGCTGAAAAAAGCACTGGAACACACCGGAATGCAAAAAATGCATACAAAACGCACTGCACTGCATTTGCAGATCTGATCCAGATCTGGTGCAGACATGGTGAGAACAAGCCCATGTGAATTGGCATGCAATTTAAACCTCTGTATTATGGAACAGTAAGTGACTATGGGTTCTCACCTCCAATGTGTAGATGGGGATTGCTACAATGGTGTACATTTGCTGATTTATTTAATTAACGACTGGTTTTATGCAAGAGGACCCGTGGATGCGGCTGCTTTGGAAATAGATGACTAGCAGTCTTTGTATTTATTGATATAGCACAAGCATTTTCTGAAATACTTTACCGGAGTGCATTTGACCATCCATTAGCCCTTGTGAGGTGCTTACATTTTAATGTAGTTCAGTCCTACCAACTGGTATGTCCTGTGTTTGTTGAAGCCAGTAAGTTCACCACTATTTTTTTGGAACACGAGAAGGTAATTGGACAGGAGGAACATTGTGCAAATCTGATACTGACAGTGCCAAAAGGCAGATTCAAACCTCATGTTAACCACCAACCCACTCTGATTTCCCACAGTGTGAAAATTTAAGCTATCTACAAAACAACAGCTAATCTTAGATGAATAAAATTAGGAAAGACAGAAAATAAAATCCATCCGAGATGATCACTTTGTTGTATGGCCAGGTTTGGTTGTGTGTGAATGAGCTTTGGGTCTGGGTCAAACATGAATCTGACCAGAAGCCAGTCTGTGTGCAGTCTGCGGAACAGGAAAACAAACTGGCTATATTTGGCCATTTTGCCCACCTGAACCTCTGGCTGATGTACCTACAAGTCTGTTATTTAGGGATGGTAGCACTACCACGGCTAAATGACATCCTGGTGACATCATTGAAAAACGATGGTCATGAACATATTTGGTCAATGACTTTACCCAGAATCTCCACTTGCTTGTTTACATAAGAAACCGGCAAAGATCTGTCATTTACGATTGGAATACTGATGGGTGAAGATCATCGTCTGCTCTAGGTCACTGTGTCTGGTCAACATCATCACATGTTGCTCATCAGGGTTAACATGGATATACATGGCTGGACGAAGTGATTGACATTGGATTTACATCTGGAGACATTGCTTATTTAGCTCTTGAACCATACCAAGCCACATGCCCTCAACATTGGAAGATTACTTTGCATGGGGGGTGGAAAAGCCTCCCCCCCACAGGACACCTTGTCCCCATGTTGATTGGGGCAAGGGTCTCATCCTCGCATCCTGCCCAAATATTTTCATGGCCGTAATTGGTCAATGATGTCACCCAGGATTCCTGGTCTTTCTATTTACAAACAAGCCAGTGGGGATCTGTCATATACAGGCCATAGTGCCTAAATGGTAGATACACTTTTTTGTTGACAAACACAAGATGACAGGGTTCTGTCAGCAGTAATGCTGTCACCACTAAATGACAGATACCCACCTGCTATTTGTAAGAAAAAAGTCCCTTTTAAATGTAATACATCCTACTGCTTCAGAACTTCACTTGCAGCTTTAAGGAATCAAAGCATGGTATTAAAACAATTTGTTTATTGTCAATGTTGCCCTTAAATTCACATCAAAAGGCCATCTCCCTACTGAATGCTATTTTTTTCTTTTCTTTTTTGCATTGGTATATGTCCCCCGGGCAACTACCTATAACCTTTGAATGGTTTGCTTATCCCAGTTGTTAGATGTTCGGAAGTGCCTGTATGCACGTAAATTCTTTAAGATCCCGCCATAAACTGTCTGATCGTGTGAACATTCTGTTATGTCAATAGACCCCTTTACTGAAACCAATCCAATAACATGTACACATATTATTTGCAAAGCAGTGAAATGGGTGTGTATATATTAGGGGTTATACAAACTAAAAGCATTGTTTATGTCTTGCAGGGTGCAATGTCTGTGGACTCCATTACAGATCTTGATGACAATCAGTCTCGACTACTTGAGGCTTTACAGTTGTCTTTGCCAGCCGAGGCTCAAAGTAAGAAAGAAAAGGAAAGGGATAAAAAGCTAAGTCTGAACCCTATCTACCGACAAGTTCCCAGGCTTGTGGACAGCTGCTGTCAACATTTGGAAAAGAATGGTAAACCTTAGGCTGATGTTTCCAGGGGTTACATGACATTATAATGCAGCTCTTAACTTGATCTAAAAACAATTTTAGGTACAATTGTTAGCCTCTTAACAACTACGTTTAAAAGACGAGTCCATCCAAAACTGATATTTCTGTATTTGGTAGAATTTACTAAAATTACTCTTCAACTTCTCATAGCTCTGGGTCACCCTCAACTCCACACACATTTTGTGACCATTAAGTGGAAGTCTAACTCTCTTTGCTAAAGTCTCCATATATTATACATTACACAAAATGCAGCAGGAGTCTCAAATAGAGAAATTTTAAATAAATGAATAAATACAAAATTAACTGGAAGTTGATGGGGTAGGTTCCTGTGTAAAACAATTATAAATCTGGCTATAGGCCTTAAAGTGACGCTAAACTCAAGTGTTAAATCTTAAAAATGCATTCAAGTATCCTAACTATTAACAAAAATTTAGCTGTAGATCCTTAAATCATCTCTGAATTGGTGCTAACACTGTCCTTCCTTCTAAAGGGTGGCTACTTTTGTTTCCCATGGTCCCTGTGTGTGATGTAAAGAAGCCACCACCCCAAGCTGGCTCCTGTGATGGACTACAATCTCATATTTAGTTTACTAATGTGTATTGAGATTGTAGTACATCAAGGGAGTGAGCTTGGAGTGGTGGCTACTTTACAACACACACAGGAACCGTGGAGAACAAAAGTAGCCACCCTCCAGAAGGAAGGACAGTGTCAGCACCAATTCAGAGGTGATCTGAGTGATGCACAAATAAGATATAGGGGTCTATTCACAAAGCTGCTGAAGGATCTAGCCATTGCCTCGGCTGATCCTTCGGCTAGTTTCGACCCCAGGACCCCTTCGGTTCGGTAGAACCGAAGGGCTGCTGTACGGGCTATTCACTATAGCCCGTACAGCTCACAAAGTTGGTCGAGGGGCTCAGTCGAGCCGAAGGCATATGCTGACAACCTGCTACTGATAGCTGGGCAGAGCCAGCCGTCATCTCACGGCTAGCTCCGGCCACTTGCACAGACCGACCAGCGTCCCTGGTTACCAGGTACGCTGATCTCCAGACAGCCCAACTCTCCCGGACGCTCCGGGAGTCTCCCGCTATTAGATAGCGGCTCCCGGCCGCCCAGGGGAGAAACACTTTCTCCCGGAAAGTTTTACTCTGCTTGATCGAGCAGAGTAAACCTTTCCCTGCTCTGTTGTCTTTTTTTTTTTCTTCTGACATCGGAGCCATTGGCTGCTGTCAGAATAATAATTTAAAAAAACAGCATAATAATGCATAGCTACATTCCTATGGGCTATTTCAATTTGCAGTAGCCAATAGCAAACAAGCTATTGCACCCGCCCACTGCTGCTGTCAATCAGCAGAGGGGAGCTGAAGTTCTCCATCAGGTCCCCTTCTAGTGATTGACAGCAGCAGAGGGCAGGTGCAATAACTAGTTTGCTATTGCAAAGTGTCACTGCTAGCTCCGCCGAATCGTTTTCTATTTTATTTTTTCTACTTTTTTAACTGTTTTTCTATTCTGCTTGGTACCAAAGAGGTACCGAGCAGAATAGCCAAGCTGAATGCCGATCGGCGGCATTCGGCTATTCACTCACTGCTGTTCGGCATCTATGAGAATAGGCCGAACAGCAGGGAGTAGCCTGCCGCAGGTTTGGCTCAGCCGATCCAGATGTTGGATCGGCTAAGTCGAACTCCTTCTGTACTTCGGGTTGGCTAAACATGCAGAGCATGTTTGGCCGACCAGAAGCAAGCCGATGCATGGCTGATTTTAGTCGGTGTACGGCTGAAATCAGCTGTACAAAGCCTGAAGTGAATAGCCGAACAGTGTTCGGCTCACTTCACTTCGGGTCGGTTATTCACTCTGCTGCCTATGGCAGCTTTGTGAATAGAACCCATAGTGTTGTTAATATGGTATTTGAATGCATTTCTAAGGTTTACCTCCTGAGTTTTGTATCAATTTAAGTGGCAATCATATGTGCAGACTTGAGTTGAATACTAATTTTTTCCACAGTTTGATACATAATAAAATACATAATAAAATAATGTAGAAAATAAAAATAAACCAAAATAACTGACTGACCTCAACACCGTTAAGTGAAGCCAGTCAGAGGTTATAAGGGAGTGTCTAGTTGGCAAACATAGATGCAAATAGATATATAGGTAAGCCTCTGTTGTGTTGATGACTGTGTCCTCCTTGTGCTCTACATTTAAAAGAATCACTATTACTATGGGATCTATTCACAAAAGGGTGAATAGCTTGGAGAAGGCAGGAGAAGGGTCTTGTCTTGAATTGTATTGTGATTGTAATGTCTGCCCTATATTGTAAAGTGCTGCGCAAACTGTTGGCGCTATATAAATCCTGTATAATAATATCATAATAATAATAAGGGAACAATTTAGGAGAACATAGCTGAACTGGAAAGTGAGCTGAATTGGAGAATTTTTCCAGTTCAGCTATGTTGTCCTAGATTGATCACTTCTCCTGCCTTCTCCAAACTCTTCACCCTTTTGGGAATAACCCTGTTAGTATTTGTGGTAGTTTGTGGTCAGAGCTGCAAATGCAGCCATCATTTCTGGTCTATGGGGAGGGTGTCACTTAACCAACTCCATCTAATTAAAGTGTCCGAGGGGCATGCTGCAGAGGCTGAAGAGTATTTTATTATGCTCAGCAGAGATACCGTTAAAGCCACACATCTATATTTCCATATAGCAAGAAAGTGAGCTGAATTGGAGAATTTTTCCAAATCGGCTATGTTGTCCTAGATTGTTCCCTTCTTCTGCCTTCTCCAAACTCTTCACCCTTTTGTGAATAGACCCCTATATGCCACTCAAAAATAGTAAGTCACATGTTGCCAGGTGTGTATTAGCAAAAGTACATAAATCAAGACATTTTTCTCTTTTTGGTTTACAAACATAGCTTTGAGACTGTCACCTGAAAATGATCTCAAATTTATGGTTTTATAAAGTTCCTATAAATTTACCTTATCTATTGTCTTAGCATTACACTATTCTGCAATAAATACAAGTAAATGTTACAAAACACTGACAGGCCAACATTGTAAACAGGTGGTATGCGGTAATAAGCTATATGTTTTAGTCAAAAGAGTCGGAATGGACCACTGAAAGCTTAAACATCAGTCCAATTAGAAAATGTGGCAAACTTAAACAATTCTGTCCACCAACAACCTCCCTCTAACATCACAGACCTAGTGTAAGTGTACCTAGAAGAATGGGAAATTATTGCAGGATCCAAGATGTAGTAGTAGCAGCTTACAACTCTACTTTTTGCTAAAATGACACTGAAAAAAATGCACTTCTGTAAATTGGACTGAAATCAAAAACAGTGATATCTTCCCTACTAGCTGTGTTCTGTAAACAACAAATTCCATTGCCCCCTTGTAATAGAGATGAAGAGAGGAGGGTGTGTTTGTAGTCCAAATCAGGAGAGCTTATTTGGGGGTATAGATGCGCTTTAAAAAACTTTTGTGTCACAGTAAAAAACATTGTCCACCTGCAAAGTGTTAAATATGTTGTGTAAATGAGATATTTAAATCCACATCAAATTGATTTAAAGTCCAGGTACAAAAAGTCCAAGGGAGGTGTACATACGGAAAGCATAGTATAAGCTAATTTAGTTGTTCAACCATATGTGAGAGGGATGTCGCAAATCCAGTCCAGTAAGAGAAACAACATCCAGATTAACCTTTACTGGGACAAAAAAACAATGAAGGATGCATACTGCTTCCCTTTTTATTATATGCATACTTGGGCAGTATAAGCATGCATGTTCATGTGTCCTTTATCCAACCATCATCTTATGAATGTCTGCAGCTTTAGGGTTTAGAATATATTATTTGGTTTCAAGTTTTCTGAATTGTGTACTGAATGAGGATGGTTCACTGAGCCAGAGTGAAAAGGAAAACTGATTATGTACTTTTTTTAGGTCTACAAACAGTGGGGATATTTAGAGTCGGAAGTTCAAAAAAGAGAGTACGACAGGTAACCTTATCAATCATAAAGTTCTTTTGTTTGTTCATAATGATAAAACATGTTGAATGTTATATTTAGAGAATCATTTGTGATTTATGTGATGCATGTGATCATTAGATTAAGGCCCAACTGATCTTTCAGTTTAATTCAGCTAAATACATTCCAGGTGTATCAAAGCATAAAGAAATTTAAAGTCCCCAAGCCCAAGTAGAAAAGCCTATCACTTTTCAGCATGCTCTTTTCTGTGTGAAAGCAGTGGTCTCTCTGGAGAGGTCTGACACTCCCCTAGACCAGCAGTCAGCAAAGGGCATGCTCCTTTCTGATTGTAGAGCTCTAGCTCTGACTTATCAGGGGGTGTGTCAAACCTCTGTATGGAGACCACTGCTTCTGCACACAGAGCAAGGCAGAGCAAGGGTCCTTTTCTACAGCATGCTGGCAGGGGGAAGGCTGTGGATGCTTTCTGATGAAAAAAAAAAACTATAAGACTTTCAACACCTTTTGTTTAAATGAGCGTACAATGTATTTAGCTGATTTAAACTGTGAATTGATCTTTGAAACTACTGACACTTCTTTTTTGTTTCTTCTATTGAAATTAATTTAGGAATTGTAAAAGTTAGAGTTACACATAAACTCAGAAGTTACATGTCCCTATGGATCTAATTAGTAATTGTTTTAAATTCTTGAAAGATTTTAGTTTAAAATCATCCATCTCAAAAACTTCCTAAACCTTGACATCACAACTTATATTCCCCAGTCTACTATTAGCTGTACTGATGATCTTGTTAAAAATTCAGCAACTCCAACAACAGCAACTACAACTCTAGTTAGTATAATCATACATTAAAAACAGAGTTTTGGCAGCTTACAAGGGTGTGTTCAGATACCTTAGATTGTGAAAGTCTAACAGTTATACATGATTTTCATGGTCAATGGATGAGCAGTTTTGCATTCTATGAACATAATAATATGACACAAAAACAAAGTTATTTGGAAGCTGCCACAGTTTGATCATTTGTCTTTATTATGATCACATGTAAACTGCTTGCCTGTACTCTGAACTACAGAGTGCCTATGAGCTAGTGAGAGAAAGAGGAATTATAAGGAATGTACTATAGCTGCAGTGTAATGAACCAGTCTTTGCAACAAACATTTGGGGGCATAACAATAAAGCAGTGGATGTGACTTTCACCAAAAATTCACTGGTGTGGAATCAGTCTCTGCCAGTTAATACATATGTACCTTGAAGATTCACCTGCAGTGATTTATAGGCATGCCCCATAAAGTAAAGTGTCGATGCCCATTTGAGTGCTGTGATTCTATTATCAGTAATATGTTGTCTGTAGGAACTGACATTGTCTTAAATGCTGGACACACTGATAATAGTGTATAATAGTGCATGCAGAAGAAACCTATTGGTGATGTGTTCTGATACTTGTGGTCCGTATTTAGGGCTTTATGTGCACTCTCTAGCCATGTTGCAGCAAACACAGCATGTGCTGGGTGGAACAAGAAGAATATGAATGCAATTTATGCGTGGCCTAAACTCAGTGATCCAGCTCGGTTTAACACATATAATAAACAACTTATCAGATATGAGTATACATCTTTTAAATCAATTTCTTTTAAGTTCATTTTAAAATGTACTTATAAGATTTTCATGTTTTCTTAGTTACGTGAAGAATTTGATCGTGGAGTTGATGTTGTCTTAGAAGAAGAACACAGTGTCCACGATGTTGCTGCCTTATTAAAAGAATTTCTTAGAGATATGCCTGACCCTCTATTGACAAGAGAACTTTACACACCTTTCATACACACTATAAGTAAGTAGAAGTGCAGTACTTTGGTTTTGTAATCTTAACCTACTGTTGAAATGTTAAAGCTAAACTCTGGGCACAAAACATTTCATCTTTAGTTACTACAAAATATATGTAAAATTGCATTGCCTTATTACATTTGTTTATGATTTGAAAAACACAGCAAGCAATATTATAGTTTGTACAGAGATAAATAATTCATTTTCACATAATGTGATATATTCTTGTGTTTTTTTTTAGTGTTAGATCCTGAAGATCAACTTGCCACCTTACAACTTCTCATTTATTTGCTACCTCCTTGTAATTGTGACACTCTGCATAGATTGTTGCACTTTCTATCAACTGTGGCTGGCCACGCTGATGACACAGTTGATAAAGGTGGTCAAGAGGTATGTATGTGTGCAAAGTTTTTGTTCTGTTGTGATTGTGTGGACTTTATAGCCAGCATTTTAAAGTTGAACCCCAGCCTTGCCTTTCTTTTACCAGACATGTAGCTAGTCCTCTCCCCTGTTAAAAAGAAATTAATTCCCAATTCCCTTTAAACATGCGTCTCCACAATATAACCCTTTGAAGCTGCAGCAGCTATCTCATACCAACCTTCATTTTCTGTCTGAAAGATCTTCATCGTTCATCAATCACTTCTGCTCCTGATCTGTACTGTCAACGGCCCTCCTCTGACAGCTATTAGCTTTCTCTGGCATGAGTCAATTTGTTCCCAAGCTTTGTATAAAACAACACATCTCTAGCATCCCTGTAGACCAGTGGTGCTCAAACGGTGTAACATGAGGACCCACATTTGTCCTTGGTCATTGAGTTTCGACCCAAGTCTCACTGAAATGGAACGCACAGCATTGTGGTACCGTGCATTTCGGTGTGGGCGATTGAACTCTGGGAGGAAGGTGCATTTGGGGTGCCATTCAAATGAATGGCAAAGCACCTCCCACACCAGAACATGTAGTAGGTGCGATTGCATGGTACAGTGCGTTAATCGCATTGGACTGTATGATTAACGCAATCTAATAGTGAGAATGGGCCCTGAAAAACACTGAAAGACACACACAGACACAATCTCACACACACATATACACTCCCCAAATTTTTATTTTTAAGATCCACCCAGTCTCCCTACCTTACGAGAACTATAGTGGATCCTCAGCCTGGGGTCCAGTGTGGGTTGCTGTGCTGTGCTGGCTCCATCCATATATGCATTGCGTGTACAACTCCCTTGTGCCCTGGTAGAGGTGGCGGGAGCCAGAATGTGATGTCACTCCGGTCCAGGTACCTCTACAGGACATGCGAGGGAGCTGTAAGCAATGCATGTATGGAGGGAGTTCCCTCACGGCCACAGCTCCAGCCAACCCCAACCGTAAGCTGACACTCGGTGCCGAGCAGCATATAAATGGCAGCTTGGTGCGAGACCTGACAGTGCTGCGCTGGGGGAGGCTGTGAAGCCTCTCGCCTAGAAAAGTGGAAGGCATGCGGCGACACACTGAACATGGGGTCACGACCCACTTTTGGGTAATGACCCACCAGTTGAGAACCAAGGCTTTAGACTTTCCTGTAGTCAGATGCAGTTAAAATATGCAGCACCCAATGACCAACAGGAATAAGCAGGTACATCTAAAAGGGACCTGAGGATGTGTTCTTTTATATAATTATTTTTAAAAGATCTGAGTCTGCCAGCCCCTCCTTTCAGGAGGATCAAAGTTCTAAGATACACTCTTTACAGCCATTGCAACCAAAGTAATAGGGTGGTGCTTGTAGTGACGCTGTGAAGAGAAATCAAAAGTACAAGAGAAGTCACTAGTACTCCATGAATGTGAAATAATAAGCTTGCATTTATTCACAATGTCTCACATAAGTAAATAAATCAATGGTTTTTAGGGCCATGCAGGGTCCCTCCCTCAGGGTATTATAGTCACTATGTTAACCAGGGGAAGGGACCCTAATGCTAACAGCAGTTTGTCCAGCAAAATAAAAAGAATGGGTCAGTGTTTTTAAATCTTTAGCCAGGATCATGTATACCTGGGTGATGCTATACAGCTGACCTGAAGAGACACTGTTGTCAAGAAACACTTTTCTGGCTTCCCGCATAAATAAAATGTTTACAATATGTACTTATGCTATCTTTGCGTGGTCATTTATTATGCCTTTTGTTAGCAATGTAGTTTTTTTCAACCTCAAACAATTTCCAGACATCCACACTGTAAGGTGCAATTGCCAGGTTCTCCTTCTGAAAAATGTAGTTGCTGGGTTGTCATGCTGATGGTTGGGTATCAATAGTTTTGGAGTCAGTGATAGGAAGCAAGTATAGGATAGGTCTGACATTTCCATGGCTTTCATTTCCTGCATACTTGTTCCAGGTCTATGGCTGTGAAGTATGCAGCTGAGACACAAGCAGGCAACTACCATTTTTATAAGAAGGTCATTAGTGATCGCTCCCGCATTTCTCTGATAACCAGTATATTTTAAAGAGGAATGCTCAATTCAGAATATTCAAATCAATACCAGAGATATTTGGTTGATTTCACCCCTCCAAGTTCTGGCCGTGGGATCAGGCCCATATGTCTAAGTATAATGAATTTAACCAGTTTTACATCAGAACCCAACTAATTGGTTTTACTCATAATATACCAAATGGGTGGGAGTAAACACTATAACTTTCCAGGGTAATATTACATGCCATGATGTTATGGTTCATATTAATTGTAATCGCCAATGTTAAGTTCATTGCATGATTCATTATAAAAAAGAAATGAACATTTTCATCTATTATTGTTCTCTAGCTCAAGCAATAAGCAGTGCTATACTCAGCAAGGTAGTCTTAACTCATAAAATTGCTATTATGTACATTCTTTTCATGTTTTGTACTGTCTAATGTGTTTTTTATTAGATTACTGGGAACAAAATGACTTCATTAAACCTGGCAACAATATTTGGGCCCAATTTGTTGCACAAGCAGAAGTCGTCTGACAAGGAGTTTACAGTTCAGAGTACTGCCAGGGCTGAAGAAAGTACAACAATTATCTCTGTGGTACAGAAAATGATTGAAAATTACGAAAGCCTTTTTATGGTAAGTAAACTAAACAGTTTTGGAAAGAGAAAAGTGTCAGTTCCAATGAAATACTTTTATGTTTGTAGCTTCGTACTTCTACTTTTGAGATGAAATAAAGCGTTATAAATTTTAACCACATTCCCTTTGTGACCTCTGCCTAATGCATATGAAGTCTGACATTGTGGGGATCCTATTTGGAGTCACAAGTCACATACCTAGGGTATAGGCTACATGGCTGTGGCTATGTGTGGGCTCCTGAATCCTATGTCATACATAAATCCATTAAACCAGAGCTACCCAGTTTTTCTGGTTTTAAAGATAATTAAACTTTTATTACTTGGGATATTTATGCCTTTATGATCAAAGTGTACTTGGCATTATCATTTTTATTAACTTTTTATTTTTGGCAGCCACAAAGCTTTTTAACCAGTCTGTCTCTCTGTCTGTACCTTGAGAGTAAAGGATAGGTGGGGCAGTTTTTTTGGCAAAGCTGTGTTTTATTAAAATTGCAGATTCCAGATACAGTAGGTGTTATGTTTTCAGTCCGTACACTCTATATATATATATCAAGTATACAGTACAAGTAAATGCAGTTGTGTGCATGTAAAAATGAAAACTGTGTTCCATTTCTTTGTGGCCCTTAGGCGGATGCCCATTTTCCCCCTGGATTCATTTAGGGAATATACCCCTTTGAAATTATAAAGTGTCAATTTATGGACTGGGGCCTAGAATTAAAATATAGTAATGGAACTTGAGGGCAGGGACAGTAAAACTGTTTTCATCTTAGCCCCTGCTAAATTTGTTTCTTTAAAAAATGCACCTACATTAAACACCAAACCCATATTCAAAAGGTGTTTGTTCTGTTTTCCTAGGAATTATTTTTTGTTTCATTGGACCACTGTTTTATTAAAGTGACCCTGCTAGTAACTTTTAGATTGTAGGAACACCAATCAAGTTTGCTCTGTCCAAAACTTCAGGTTACTAAGGCAACTTCATGTACAGGCAGTCCCCGAGTTACATACATCCGACTTACAACGACTCCTACTTACAAACAGAGGCTATTACTGTACAGCAGGGGTAGTTGTAATGCTACCACGTTCGTGCTGACGAGGAGTGCCCGCCTTTTTTGGGTCTGGTTCGTAGGGCTGTACGAACATTAAATTAAGTTGGCTCTTGTTAGACGTGCAGATGAGGGGTGCACACCTCTTCTTCTGGGTCACTGTGAGGTTTTTACTGCTGTCTGTAACCTCACTAGAAAGATTTAGTCCCACTTCCTGTCCTTGAGACAACAGGAAGTGAGAGGAAATCTACACCTAGGAAGGGAAATTCACTCCTGTAAGAGTTATCATGGGAAAAAGGTGTCTCCACTGAAGCTAAACCCAAAATGTTCAAAATCCAATTGTCACAGGGACAGGAAGTGAGGTGAAATCTTCTGAACATGGGCACACAAAGCAACACAAACTTTACAGGGGGTTAACCCTTCCCTGTGCTATCCAAAACAAAAACAAAAATTTTGGCTGGAGTTACACTTAAAAAATTTACCTGTTCCAACTTACATACAGATTAAAATTAAGAACAAACCTACCGTCCCGGTCTTGTTCATAACCCGGGGACTGTGTGTACTTTAAACTAGCGTTTCTTATAATTTAGCAGTAACCCCTATAAGGGCCCACCCCTTGCTGAATGAATCATCCATTCCTGAAAATGACATTCGATTCTGATCCTTTTTGACAGTGCCTAATACATTGCTGACACAGCTTAGCTGAATCTTCCTTTCCTTACTTTTCATCTTATGTTTGTGGCCGGGAAATAATAACAATGGAAAAACATTACGCAAGTATGTTTGATGTGAAGCCAGTTTCATTACTGCTTCCCATCATTGCTTGTATGCAGTAAATAGAGATAGAGGCAAGAGAAACAATTTTTACAAGATTTTAGCACTCCGTGCTGTCTCCCGCTGACATAAATTCAAATTGCTGTGCATTACACAAGACTACCAGTGAGTTCTGGGATTTTTCCAAAATGACTTTATTCACCCCAGAATCACAGTGGTTCAAATACAACTCTATACAGTAATAGCATTTGAAGTAGTAGTGCTAGGAGTTCAAGTACACACAAAAAAGGCACATATGGAAGTAAAGGGTCATTCTGGAACTCTTCTAAAGCTACCTGGGAAGTCATTGTTGTCTGTGCATTAAACAAGACCCTCTCATTATAAACCATTTGACCTTTGCTACAATAGATATATATTTTTTTAAATAAAGTTTTAAAATTGATTGCTTTTTTCTCTTGATCATTATTGATAAAATATGTTTTGGATATTCACAGTTATTACCTTCTAAAGCAAATTGGATTTGTAGTTCCACCACAGCTGGAGGGCCCGGAGGTTTGCTACACCTGTTCTAAAGAGTCTGTTTTTTACTGTTATATATTCATGGGTGCAAGAGTGTCAATCTCATCCAGAGGTATAAGTGACACTGTTATAGTTTATTGTAGTAAGGAAAAGCCAGTCGTGCTATTTGGACTATGTGGAGGGGAAAAGAAAATATACAAATGTGATCAGTATAATTTTCAGGTTTCATTTTGCTTCAGATATAACATTATCTACCACAGAGACAGATCTAATCAAGCTAAGTAAACAGGGTGAATTTGTTGTTTTATAGTAGCGCTAAAGTGTCATTGGATTCCAGTAAAACAAAGAGTGGAATTGAGACAGGGGCATAAAAGGCACTGGTTGTTCTATTCTATTTTATAGCAGAGTCGAAGCCAACTACTGTCAGCTTTTATTTGCTATATGCATCCTATTTGGGACACTTCCCTTCACTTCCTGTCTTATAGCCTCAATAGAAGAAATTCCTCCAAAAGAAAGGGAAATCCCTGGTGGTCAGTAGGCTGACCAGAACTAGTGTCCCCATTGGAAGTTTTCCCATCTATTCCTGTTCTGATAATCAGCTAAAATTTGGGATTTCTTTTACTTTCAGTGATAGTGGTCTCCCTAAATCTCCCTAATGAGGACACAGACAGCAATAAAAACGCCAGGTGTTCTAATCTCCCTCCACTCTATCCAAAAAAAAAAAAAGGTTTTGACTTATTTTTTAAAAAGAGACAATGGAGGAATCCTATTTCGACTTTTCAGCTACATTGGTGGGTGACTAATGATGAAAAAAAACTTTTATTTCTATGAGAGACTGACATGGTAGTATGTGTAATAAACTAATGAAACTGGGTGCACTGAAATTATAATTCTGAACTAAACAAAAACACCTTTTGAAACCTGTACAGTAAGACGAAAATTGCAAATTATATACCTAACAAAATAACAGACTCATCATTCTACTGTGTAAATCTAAGTGAAATTCTTATTAGGAAAACACCACCTATAACTAACAATATATAGATAAACAGATGCGGCGAAATTTTTAGTTAGTTACTCTTGGTGCATATTTGGGTGATTGGGTGCTGGTGGCTCGTGGTGGCACGTTCTGGGGGGAGGGGGCTCAAATGCGGTTCGTGGAGCACAACATCACTGGTTGCCAGGAGCTGGGCAGGACACCAGCCGGAACGATCTACTCAGCTCCAGTGACATCAGTGAGCTGGGTGTAATGCCAGCCAGAGCGCCACAGGTTGCTAACAGCTCTTAACGCACCAATGAGATGCCGTCTGGGGCAACCTCCTCAGGCTGCCTTATTATAGGGATGGCGCTGGACATTCTCCTTGACCCTAAAGCACACATGTGAGTGAGTGTGTCTCAACACAGGTAGCACAACACCGACTGTAGGGGAAGATTGTTGGGCTAAGTTATCCATTGGCTTCCTATGTTACCTGGGGACCCCTCACTACAATTTCTGGCTCCGTTCTTAGCCACCTTTTGCAATAGCAGGTGTTCCTACTTCTCCTATTTCATTCTTAATGATTTCAAATAAATTCAGAAACTCAATAGTGAGCATGAACACCTCTATTAACTGCTATAGTGTGCGTGTAGATCATTGAACTCACCTGGAGAGACATAGGAAAGGATGAGCTGATTTAACTTTCCAGCATCTGTCACAAACTGAAACATCAGTTTAGTTTCACCGGCTGTTTTAAACAGTGACTATTTCTAAACATTTTTAACAGGAGGCATGTGACACATTAATTTTACCAGATTAGATACCAGTGCTGTATAACGAAGCAATAGTATCACTCGCAAATGCAAATTATATTTTGGATTAAATCACTATTAGCACATAGTTTGCATGTTCTCCCTGTGCTTGTGTGGGTTTCCTCCGGGTACTCCGGTTTCCTCCCACACTCCAAAGCCATGCTGGAAGGTTGAAACGACATTAAACCTTCAGGTTTTTTTTTTCTTTTCATTTTTTTATTAATGGAGGCCAGACTTACTCTAAAAAAAGTTCCTTTATTATTTAGTTTTTTAAATATCCTCTTTCTCAAGTGGTATCCAGACCGCTAGCCTTCCCCCCTGTATGGGTGCTTCCATCAGCTAGCCAACTGCTGTGCAGCCATAGACACACGACAGTGCCTGCACCTAGCTGTGTGCAGCCATAGACACACATAGTGTGTGGCCTGACACGCCCCCAACCTTGCAGTCACAGCTTGACTAATGGCAGAAGGAGCATATGGCTCCTATGCCCTCAGTACCCCCCCTTGCAACCAGGAAGTTTGGGGAAAAAAGGCTTTCTTTTGGCAATATTGTCTTGCAAAATAATTGTTTTTTTCTATGTAATCCATAGACACATAGATGCAACAAAATGGAAAAAAAAAAATAACGTGTTTTTTTCTACTTTGGCCATTGATGATTTTAAAACTAAAACTAATAATGTTATAGTAACTATAATGTATCTCGTTTGTAATAAAACTACAATTAAGTTTCCAGTACAAACAATGATTATGGTACAAATCTTTTCACAATTTGAAAAATGCATTTTTGTTCAATTTTGCAATGTTTAAAAATATGACACTGAAAAACTAATAGACAAAATCAATGTAAATGTAATAGCTAAGGGGAGAAGAGGAGGAAGGAGATAAGTAGCGCTGATTAGGTTTGACAAGTGGTATATAAGTAGTTAAATAGGAATACAATGATTTGTTTTTAATTGTAAGGTAGTTTTAACCAATGTCATATACAGATCAAAGGTTATCCTTTGGATTTACACAATAATAAAAAATGGTAAATACAATGTAACAGTACACCATGTACATGGTGTGATTCAGAGAAAATCCCTGCTGTCAACATTGCCTGCGGTAGTAGCAAGAGAGTGGCATGGCTCAGGAGGAGCAGGGCATAGGAGATGCACCCTATTAACTATTGACTAAAACCTGTGGAGTGTGTTGGCGAATTGGCTGTCTCATAGGCCCTCAAACATGTTATATGTATATTGTATATAATTACGGTTAAAATTCCCTGCAATTCCTACCATACGCTATTAGAATAGTACTTGGTTCTTTGGATGTGTTCTTTTTTCATTTCATTTCTCATTGTTTATGTTTTTAATTATTTCCATTCTAGGTCCCTCCTGATTTACAGAATGAAGTTCTCATTAGCCTGCTAGAGACTGACCCTGATGTAGTAGACTATTTACTAAGGAGAAAGGCTTCTCAGTCATCGTAAGTGAATCTGTTTATATTTACTTGTAGTTTCCTCTGGAATTAGTGCTGGGAATGTTTCTGTTTTCTGTAATGTTTATCAGGCCATGTAGATTTGTAGGTCTCCAGTGCTTTAGAGGGAAAGAGAAAAAAGAAGCACGTGATATCTTCTTTTCTCAGTGTTAGCATTGATGTGGTCATTACAAGCAGATCATTGACGCAGATTATTAGGGTCATGTACGCTGGTGTTTGTTTTTTTATTTGAATTGATGGTGGTGCATTGTTTAACTACGTGTGTTTATTAAAATGTTTGCCAGGCTTTGCTTTGCATTTAGCAAATGAGTGTATTCTATTTTGCTGCTTCTCAACTTTTATTCATCATAGTGCACAAAGCAACTCAGTAGGATTTCAAATCCATATTGAAGTGTATTCCACTTTTTTAGTCAAATTTGAGATAACCCCACTATATGTTTGTTATGTGTTCCTATTCACACAGTATACCAAAAAAAATGTTTTTTCAAAAAATATTTCTTACCTTTTAGATGTTTCTTTGGTGATGGCCTTTGTGCAGATTCCATGAGTGGTTTGAAAGTGAAAGTAGATGGGCAAACTGAGGGACAGACTGAGCTTCCTTCATGAACATACAATGTTTCCACGCCTGTAACCCTTTATTAGAACAGACAGTGTTCAAATCTAGTGTTCAACTGGTAATTAGATATTCCAGCACAGTACAGCCAGGGTTAATTAGAGTCAACAGAACTTCCTGCAGCCCCAGTAGAAAGCACTTAAACGTGCTTTCTACTGGGGCTGAGTGACAAAGCATGCTTCTCTGTCTGGCAATCCGATGAACATGTCTGGGTTTGGCGGTTGCCAGGAGAACTGTACTTGCCTGACTGCATTGTGCCAAGTGTAAAGTTTGATGGAGGGGGGGTTATGGTGTGGGGTCGTTTTTCAGGGGTTGAGCTTGGCCCCTTAGTTCCAGTGAAGGGAACTCTAAGGGCATCAGCATACCAAGACATTTTGGACAATTTCATGCTCCCAACTTTGTGGAAAAAGTTTAGGGATGGCCCCTTCCTGTTCCAAGATGATTGCGCACCAGTGCACAAAGCAAGGTCCATAAAGACATGGATGAGCGAGTTTGGGGTGGGGGAACCTGACTGGCCTGCACAGAGTCCTTACCTCAACCTGATAGAACACCTTTGGGATGAATTAGAGCGGAGACTGCGAGCCAGGCCTTCTCGTCCAACATCAGTACCTGACCTCACAAATGCGCTTTTGGAAAAATGGTCAAACATTCCCATAGAAACACTCCTAAACCTTGTGGACAGCCTTCCCAGAAGATTCAAAGCTGTTATAGCTGCAAAGGGTGGGCCAAATAATGTAATAAAAGATGTAAACTGGTAGTCCGGGCAGCTAAAATTGAATGTGAGAAATATATCGCCACGGTTAGTAAAAAGAACCCCAATTTTTTTTATCAATACATAAACAGTAAAAAGGGGAGAAAGGAACAGATAGACCCAATAAAGGACAAAAATGGGAGGTTAATAACAAACGACAGGGAGAGGGCCGAGGCGCTAAATACTTTTTTCCCGTCGGTATTCACCAAGGAAAAAGACGTATTTAATGTAAATGATAAAACACATAATTTAACAAGAAATACACCTGAGTGGTTGACTGAAACCGGGATACAACATAGGCTTAAGCTACTTAATGCAAATAAAGCATTAGGACCTGATGATCTACAGCCCAAGATACTCAAGGAACTCAACAAGGAGATAACGAGACCATTGTTCCTCATTTTTAAAGAATCCATAATGGCTGGTAGAGTACCAAGCGACTGGCGAAAAGCAAATGTGGTACCAATATTCAAAACAGGGTCAAAATGCCAACGGGGAACCATAGGACCAGTTAGTCTGACATGCATAGTATGTAAACTGTTAGAGGGAGTTATTAAGGACTACTTAATGGTATTCGTCCGGGATCATGGCATATTATAATTGATAACCAACATGGATTTCGGAAGGATCGTTCTTGCCAGACCAACCTGCTAACCTTTTACAAAGAGGTGAGTAAAGATCAGGATGGAGGGAGGGCGTTGGACCTAGTGTATCTGGACTTTTCCAAAGCATTTGATACGGTGCCACATAAACGCTTGTTATACAAGCTAAGGGATATGTGCACAGATTAATTAGTGTGCACGTGGATAGAAAACTGGCTAAAGGAATGCGTACAAAGAGTATCGATAAACGGCACCTTTTCAGACTGGACTGAAGTCATGAGTGGCGTGCCCCAGGGTTCTGTGCTGTGCCCCATGCTTTTTAACCTGTTTATTAATGATATCGGGGAGGGAGTGTGTAGTCATGTCTCAGTGTTTGCTGATGATACGAAAATTGGGAGGGTAAACACTGATTTAGATGTTATAACATTACAGGAGGACCTGGATAAACTAGGGCAGTGGGCAACTGTATGGCAGATGAAGTTCAACGTCGATTAATGCAATGTAATGCACTTTGGAGTTAAGAACAGGCAAATGGACTATACACTTATGGGTGTGCCACTAGGTAAATCTGAAACAGAGAAGGATTTGGGGGTCATTATAGATCGCAGATTGAATAACAGCTCGCAGTGCCAGGCTGCTGTAAACAAAGCTAGCAGAGTCCTGTCTTGCATTAAGAGGGGAATGTATTGCAAGGACAAGTCTATAATTTTGCCACTTTACAGATCACTGGTTCGGCCACATCTGGAGTATGCGGTCCAGTTTTGATCACCAATACTAAGAAAAGATGTCCTTGAGCTGGAAAAAGTCCAGCGGAGGGCAACCAAACTCATTAAGGGGTCGAAGACCTGAACTATGAAACAAGGTTGTTAAAATGAAATATGTTCTCTTTGGAGGTTAGGAGATTAAGGGGGGCATGCTTTTCTTGTAAAAACTGTTTAACGGCAAAAGCAACATTATTAACAAACTATTTATGGTTAGCTCCGTAACAAAGACCAGAGGGCACCACCACAAATTGGTAGAAAACAAATTCCTACACACGGTGCGCAAGGGGTTCTTTACAGTTAGAGCGGTTAGGGTCTGGAACTCTCTGCCGCAGGAAGTAATTTCAGCGAAGAGTGTGGAATCATTCAAGAAACTCCTGGACGAGTTCCTTGGAGACCGTAACATAAAGGGGTACAAGTACTCTTAAGAGCAAAATCACACATGGACTCATACACACGCACACACCTGATCAAACATAAATGCACACACGCAATAGGTTGGACTTGATGGACCTGTGCCTTTATTCAACCTCAAATACTATGTAACTATGTAACTCAATATTGAACCCTACGGACTAAGACTGGGATGCCATCAGTAAGAAAAAAAAAAAATCAAAGCGCCAATGATGACCAACAGATGAAAATAAAGTGCAAGCGAGGATAACCAGGAGTTCTGCCCCACTTCAGCCTGGGAAGCTGCAACACTATGGGAGAAAAGAAGAGAGAAGGGCGCCCACCCTAGTGTAGTGTCCGGGGCCACGCCACGGGGCCACGAAGGGGGTGTGGCCCCGGAAACGCGTCATCAAAAGGAGTCCTGTGTTGATACACAGGCATCTGAGCAGCTGATATTCAGATATCATTCTGGCTCATTTCATATGATTTTACTGATTCTCATTGTGAGTATGTTTTTACCCTGTACTTTAGCTCACATTATTAAAAACCATCTACACTAGGGTGGGCGCCCTTCTCTCTAAGACTGGGATGCCATTAACGTTCATGTGTGTGTAAAGGCAGGCGTCCCAATACTTTTGGCAATATAGTGTAAACATGTATAGAGATGAAGTGGGTGAAAAAGGATGCAGAGATCAGCACTTAAATCCAAAAAAATAACAAATTGTTTATGATGCCCAGTGCCTTAGCAAGCGCAATTCTGTCCATGTAGGGTTTACACATACATCTGAAGTGCAAGTAATTTTTTCCCCTGAAAGCATGTTGCATTTTACTTGCTTTTGATGAGCAGGTATATTACCATTTGCAGGGCATTTATTGTGATATATTTAACTTAATTCTAAGGACAGACTTGTACTAACCTGTTAGGTATACTGTTAACCACCTCAGGGCCGGCCGTTGTAAAAAAACGGCCGGCCGAGAGGTCTCTAGATCTGAGCAGGCGTCTTTAGACGTCCGCTCAGACACGAGCGGGAAATGGCAGTTATTTAAAAGCAGGCATCGATGCCTGTTACCATACCAGCGATCCGCCGGCTGTAAAGCCGGCGGATCGCATGTATGGTGTGCCGATCGGTCCCCCTCCGCGGTCCCCCACCCACCATTGTTCCGCTGATCCCGGGATCCGCTTCTTGGAGACCCCTGATGTCTCCATAAAGAGGACCTGTCACATATTTTGCTATCACATAGGGGAGTTTAATTAGCCCCCGTATGTGATAGCAATAAAGTTTAGTGGAAAAAAAAATAAATTTAAGTCCCCCCCCCCAAAATTTAAAGTTACACATAAAAAAAATAATAAAAAAAAATGCAAACATGCGTCGTGGGCGCATACGTGCAAAAAAGACGATTGCGCCCATTACGCCGCACATGTTACATATCGACGCGAACGTCGGAGTGAGAGCAATCATTCTAGGGCCATCAATCACTGATAACACTAAACTGATGAGCGGTAAAAGCTTTTAAAGCGTCGCCTATGGCCAATTTTGGGTATGGTGGTTTTCTGCGATTTCGCGGGTGCGCGCAATTTTAAAGCGTGACATGTTTGGTGTCTATTTACCCGACGTGACCCGATCTTTTATATTTTACCAAAAAACTGGGTAATAATAAATGTTTCCTAACATAATGTAAACAAAAAACTTTTTTTTTCAAAATTTTCTGTAATTTTTCCTAATTATAGTAAAAAATAAAAACCCCAGTTGTGTTTAAATACCACCAAAAGAAAGCTCTATCTGTCCCCAAAAAATAGTATAAAATTAATTTCAGTACAGCGTTGCATGACGGAATAAACGTCAGTCAAAGTACCGCAGCGCTGAATA